TTTTGAAATGGCTCTTTTTTTGATGAGTCTCCCCCTTGCCTAACAAACAAAGCTGTCAGAGCAATGTCTTTGTCTCCCCTCCGCCTTGAGCCGTTCCCTCCCTACCGGTCAGCGGGGAAATCAGCAGCCTGTACTGGGATGTCAGAAAGGCACGCAAATCAGACCCTGATCCACCTTCCTTATCCGCCTGTTCCTGACTTTGGCTGCTGTTGGGAAGAGATGCCAGATGTTGGGTTGGTGCTTCGGGTACAGAGGAGAGCGTGTCCTGAACCTCACTTTGCGTTGTTTGTCATCAGTAAAGGACCAGCCCTAGGAAAATGTAGGTATTTGTAGGTCTTTGCTGTTGCCTCTCCTTTTCTTTTCGGGGCTCGTCCTCACTTCCTGAGCACTCACTTCCCTGTATATCTGGCCTGTCTCCAGCTCTTTCCTGTGTTTGTACACAGATGGACACTTCATTCAGGCTCACCCTAAACTCAAGGCATCTGCCATGCTTGTATCTCATGAAAGCAGGTTTGTCCTGTTTGCTGTCTGCCAGAGCACATGCTAGAGAAAACGCCTCAACTGAAAGCACAATTGTATTTGTAGAAATTTCAGAGACCATGCGCAGCCAACTGGGGACACACCTGCAGCTCAGCTTCAGTCACCCCTCAGACTGTCGCTGCCTGTTTTCCTCCTGAGCTGGCCGTACTGCTCCCCAAGAAGGCCTGCGACCAGGGTGGCCCCCTTCCCTCTCAGGCCCTACAGACCCTGGGGCTGTGAAAGTTCGGTCAAAGTCCTTTTTTTTTTTTTTTAGTTTAGTAACTGTTATACAAAATACATGGGTCAGTCCTTTATAAGTCTTTCCCTTGTGATGGTGTTTATGATAGCAAAATTGTACCTGCATTTGGAAATCTCTTCTTCAGAATTTATGTTAAAAGTAGGAAATTTTGTTTGGCTGGAGTATTTTCCTCCCCTTTAAAAAAGTGACGAGGCCTGGAAATGACTAGATGTTCTCTTTGATCTTGTTCAGTCTGTAAAGTGGGTGCAGTAGAGTCCTACATCTTGGTTTCAATTCTCAAATTTGACATTTGGAAGCTGAATAGCAAGAACTCCAGGAAGAGAGAGCAGTTTTAGAGAACATTCTAGAAAGTCATAATTTGTATTGATGCTGACCAAATCATTTTGGAAATCCGTGTCTCTCCTCCTCTGTACAACAGGGTTAATTATATTCTTTGCCGAGCACATTGAATGTGCCTGTTAAAAACTGTTGGGTAAGTGCAAGTGTTGCTTCTTATTAATGAGGCCTCTCAGTTCCTTTTCTGTCATAAGAAAAAGGGGGAGAGAGTGTTTAACAATTCAGCACTCTGTCTCCTGCTAGGAATAATTGCTTGATTTCTTTTATTGTTCATAGCACTTCTTGAATTAGATTAATTTCTTTATATTCCATTTCTGTCTTTTCAAGACAGCAATTTTTTTGACTAAAAATATAACAAGGCATATGATACTCATCCACGTATAAAAAGTAAACCAAACCTCCTTTTATTTTGAAACCCATTGTTTTGGAAAATGTTCTTTCTAGTTGAGCGTTTAAGATCCCAAACCATTGGGTTTGCCCCATCACAAAGCACTTACAAGTTCACTGTGATCCGCACAGAGCTGCATCTCATGCCAGAATAGAGGGTTGAAGTCAGTTCAGGTGGTACCTGCGCAGATCTGAGAGAAATTCAGAGATTCTGAACAAAAGACAATGGCAACATTTCCATTACACTGGGGACTGAAGCACCTCTCAGGCTGAGCCTGTAATGAACTCACCAGATGTACCAAACCATTTAAAATAGTGAGCTTCCCTGAGCTACCATGAGTGGTACTTGCTTTCTTAGGAGACAACAGGTCTATCAGCTGACACTGCAGTCAGTACCCTGTGGTTTTTCTCTATGTTGCTTTGAAAGACAGCCTGTGGGGCACCTTGCAGTATCACACTGTGTGTGTGTGTGTGTGTGTGTGTGTGTGTGTTGATGTGTTCTGATCTAAAGTATAGTTCCCCTTTGTTCAAAACAGACTTTAAAGAAACTAACACATTAAACTCAGTATCTCACCTTGACAATAAAAACAATGAAGGAAAACAGGACCGTGATTAGTGAAATGAGGAAGAAGTATGTATTACTAGATGCCTAGAATGAGCATAAATATAGTTCTGAGTTTCCTGGCAGGAAAGCAAGCTCGTGTGAGATTGTGTAATTATCTTTTCATGATAAAAGAAACCAACAAAATTTATCTGGAAAGATCAACATTTTCCTGGCAGAAAATTCCAAGATGAACTTAATTCACAGGATCTTCTATTAGAGACACTAGATAACATAATGAAGAGTGTCTTCAGCTGACACGGAAGTATTCAAGTGGACGTTCCAAACACTATAAAGGATGAAGATATAATATGAATATTAGGAGCCTGTGTGCTTGGCTTTCTGCCTTTACTACGGGGCCACCTTAGCCAACCTCACGGAGGGGTATGTTAAGGAGATCATTGGGTTGGTACATCCTTTTGGACCTTCTGGGTTACAGCCTGCTCACTCTTGCACTCTCTTCTTATCTGAAGCACATTCTGCTTGCTGATTAGGGAGGGATGCTAATCTGAAGGAGGCAGGCTTAGCATTCTGCTTTGAGACTTAGGGGCCCTAACTCCAGCAGGAGGGTTGAATCCACCTCTACGTGGAGCTGGGCTTTGGTGGAGAGGGGGTCTTGCAAGAAGGGCAAGCTTTTAGAGGCGCTTTTAGTGTGCTCACACTTTTGATGCATACCAGGACCCCAGAGCATGGAAGAAACTATTTTGAATGAAATATTTTTAGTGGAAAGGTTGCATTAAATGCCATGAGGGACCAGACAGGAAATAAGGGAGTCAGGCAGTCGGTGTTAAGTACACAGACCCGCTTGAGTCAGGGCTGGGACATGAGAGCAAACGCCCAGGCCCACAGGGCACCTCCGCTCAGCCTGGCCCATGTTGCCATGTGCAAAGACCCAGGATTGCCAGAGTGGAAGCATTACTGGGCTTTTCCAGGAGAGGCTAGAAATCTTGATTTTAAGTGATGTTTAATGAATTAGAATATAGGCTCAGAAACTGTTTTTAAAAATCATTTTGCAGGTCAAACCCAATATATGTATAATCTGGTTTCGTATCTGATTTTTGGGGGGTTCATTAAATGACATACTCAAGTAATTGATTTTTGTGATTGTTTCCATTTGTCTGGTCATGGTTTTTTTCAGCTTTATTGAGATATAATTGACATATAACGTGTAAGTTTAAGGTGTACAACGTGATGATTTGATACACTTGTATATTGCAAATGGTCACTCACCCTGGCGTTATCTAACCCCTCCATACCATCATGTGACTACCATTTCTTTTTTGTGGTAAGAACATCTAAGATCTACTGTCTTAGCAACTTTCAAGTATATTCATCTGATCATCTTTAAATAAGGAGGAGTAACACAAATATTAATATTCATTGAATTCTTATTATGTGCCATGCATTGTGCAGAGGGCTATATATGTACTAACTCATTTAATCTTCACAAAGCTCTTTGAGGCAGGAATTAGCAGTATCATTCTCAATATCGTTATCAACATCATCATCGTCATCTCTGCTTCATAGACGTGGGTGCTCTTGAGGTTAAGGGACGTCAATAACTTGCGCCGGCTTCCACAGTAAGCAGTGGAGCCCGAGTGCAAGGCAGGCAGTCTGACTCAGAGCCGTGTCCTCTGCCGGCCCAAAGCCCAGTGCTACCAGTATAACATTTTTTTCTCTGAGTGTTGAAAAACAGGCATTATTTTGGATCCCACAGCGCCTTGTCTAATGACAGGAAAGAACGAAACCCAAGAAGCACTGAGGAACGTTCCCACACCCCCATCCCTGTCTCCCTTCCTCATTGTAATCACTCAGATATGAATTGTGAGAAGTGTCTTACTGAAATTCACAGTATGGGTGTGGCAGGGCGGAGGTGGAGGGGCCCTGAATCACGCAGTGAGCTTGAAGCTCCCGCCAAGACTCAAGGCTCACAGTTCGTCATCAAGAAACAGCAGATGGAAACAACCCTTCCTAGCATTGCCTTAGTTTAAGGGAACACCTTTCCCCATTCTTTCCTAACCAAGAGGGGAGACCAACCTGCCGTTGTAAGCAGACTGAATATTGCTTCATGTGGTAGAGATACGGTCTTTAATAGTTTGTGTAGAAACAATACAGTATTATGCTAATTTGCTAAGTATTCCAGTCTTTTCGGTAACTATTAATATCATTAAACGTGAGTGTAATTTTTTCTTAGTAAAGACCTTTTATCAAAGACCGCGTCTAAAATACAACATCCTTGTTTTTTTATTCATGGTTAAATCAATGATAGCTATTTGGCAAAGGCTCAGAATTATCCCTGTTAACTTGTTTTTAATAGCATTTAACTTATATGTGTGCTCAAACCTCCAATTCATGCGTGTATGTATGTGTACTAATTGTGGCCATATGCATTTAAACACAGTGCTATTGGTGGGAAATGAAGCGTAAAATGTGAAAGATGTATAATTATTAAGGGGTTGGAATTATAGTTTTTGACTCCTTCCAGAACGGGGATGTTATGACACAGCTTTGATTGGTTTTCATTTCAGATGAAGTTCCTGGGTAGATTTGGTGATCAGTTTTTCACCTTCCTAATTAATTGTAAAATTCTTCCGTCTCATGGACATAAATGAATTAACACATTGGTTTGCCCGTTAATATATGCTTTTCCTTCGGACTCATGCTGTCCTCCCAAGTAGGAGACAGGTGGACTCCTCAGAACAAGGTCAAAGCCCCTGGATGTATCAGTGAGAGAACTTTGGTTGCTTTTCCTCTTTTTCTAACCTAAATTTGAAGTAAAGAACGTTAATGGTTTCTAATAGCCATGACATAACTTTTTCAGCATTGAACGTATTTGCATCCGTATGCGTAGCAGCTCTGTGCAGTGCATACGATGAATGACTCTGAATTCTATTTCAGACAATCCATGGTCACAAGGGACCCATCACTGCCGTGGCCTTTGCTCCTGATGGACGATATCTTGCCACCTACTCAAACACAGACAGCCACATTTCCTTCTGGCAGGTAAGTGAACATGCTGCAGGGTCTTGACGTGTGGTGCACGATCCGCTTGTGCTGGGAAAGGCTCCCTTGTGCCCTCCCTCCCTTCTTTCAACAGATATCAAGTACTTATTGCTTGCTGGTTATGTGCCAGCTGCCAGCACGCAGGGGCTACTGAGAATACAATTAGCAACCTAGAAGGAGGGGGTCTGCTCTCACCAAGCTTTCAGTCTGAGGGAGACGCAAGTAAATCAGCAAGTAACCACAGTACGGGGGGAACCTGGGAGTAAGGTTGTGGGCCGGCTTCATAGAGGCAGCGACACCTGAGCTGAGACATGGTGACATCAAGGAAGGGCCAGGCATTCAGGGTAGGGAGGGGTGGGTGTTTGGAGAGAGGTAGGCATCATTCAGATGTAAGTGAGGGCCTGGCCCGAAAGGAATTGGGGCACGGAGCACTGCTCAGGCTGTTAATTTACACAAGGCATCCAGACAACGCCAACAGGGCATAGGGGAAAGGGCAACCTCGTATTAACTTCATGCCCCATGTGTATTATCTCATTTGCGTTGGCTTTCTGAATTTCCACATAATGCTCTTCATTTCCAAGCTATTAAAACATTTTCAAAAATCTGAGTATCACTGACTGGCAGTACATGAGAACAGCTCTGTTCGATTATGATTACAGTGAATATTAATTTGAGCAACTGAGTTTTATAATAGAACTTGTTTCATCCTCAGTGATTAACCTCCATCGCATCTTCTTTTTTTTTTTTTTTTTTTTTTTTTTGCGGTACGCGGGCCTCTCACTGTTGTGGCCTTTCCCATTGCGGAGCACAGGCTCCGGACGTGCAGGCTCAGCGCCGTGGCTCACGGGCCCAGCCGCTCCGCGGCATGTGAGATCCTCCCAGACCGGGGCACGAACCCATGTCCCCTGCATCGGCAGGCAGACTCTCAACCACTGCGCCACCAGGGAAGCCCCACATCTTCTTTTTAATTACCTTACTCCTGATAATTACAAAAAAGTTAAACATTACCAACTCCCCCCCGCCGCAAGTTAATATAAAATTCTGTTACCTATCCTAGGATGCAGGTATGTTTTATGAGATTCAGTTTATTGCTTTGAAAGCTAAAAAAGCAAATAAAAGTTTAAACAAGACTTCACAATGTGACGATTTTTAAAAACTCAGTAGCTAATGTAATGTAAAACAGATACAATAAATTGCTTAATTAACCACATGCTATTGAAGCATGACAGCTTCCAGATCTGTCCTAGCTTTTTCTACTTTTCCTCTAATTTAGTTTTCCAGTCTGTTTTCTTATTATCCTTTCTTCCAGAATATATCTCCAGCATCTTAATTGGCTCATATTAAACTTTTCCTTAGAGATGTCACCGAGTCTTCATTCTTCCTAGCGGGTAACCCCAGGAGTCGTATTTTATCCCACTGAAATCCCACAGCAAGTCCATAAACAACGCTTGCCACATTGGTCCTGTAGATAGTGTCTCTACCAACTGTTCTTTTCTGCCAACGCAGTGGTGTCTGTGACACCGACTGTACTTTGATACACATTTTCCTGAATTTCCTGTTCTCTTGAAATCCCGGAGGAGTGTCCATGTGAAACTCCCTTCATTTGGCGTGTGTCTGGTGTGGAAGCGCGGGGTGCCAGCCTAGCTTTAGGGACATGGAACCAAGCAGTCTGGGGTCCCTGCTTTCCAGGAGCTTGTGTTCGCCCCATGCTTTATTCTTGGGAATAAACAAAACCAGATCTCTTCTTTTTTGTTGTTCAATTTTTCTTCCTGCTAAGAAAATATACTTCCTTATATAAAGGGATACCTCCTAAATTGGCCAGATGTGAAACTTTCCCCAGTATTTTCCTGAATGTCTAAGTGGTAAACCTTATGTCTAAGTGGTAAACCTTTTCCCCCTTATCTAGGTCTTCAGAGACCTATTTGGATATGTTCATCCCTTCCTTGAATCTTTTTCTATGTTTATCAGAGTTGCTGCCCGGCTCATTGATGGAATTATCGTTAGCATCTTCCTCACCCCGGAGATCAAGATTGTTCCTTAGATGCTGTCTTTTTGAAGCACCTCTTTCTGTCCTCCAGGCTCCTGCTGTTGCCTCCGGGCTTCGCCAAGTGCACTTAACCCTGCGCATCTGTCCATGCGGCTCTGCCCAGCTCCTTTCCTTCGTCTGCACTCTCTTCTCCAGGGGCACCTTGTGTTACTTGCAGGGGTGGGTGTTCAGCAGACAGAGCACCCAAGCAACTCAGGCAACACCCAGGTCTTTCTTGCCTCTAAACCCAATGTCAGAATTTAAAATGTGGCCCATTTCTTCCCTGCTTAAATTATACCCAGCTTGGTCTTAAAATCTAAGTGGAAGACACAGAAATATCATTTCAACTTTCTCAAGAAAATACAATAAAACCTCTTCCAGAAGTATAGTGGGTTTTTATGTGAATTAAAGGGAGTCCAAAAAGCAGTGTTAGATCTACCGTGGCTCTCCCCAAATGGGCTGGGCTGATTTATTTATATACATATTGTTTAGGTCTAATGATGTATGATAATACTTTTATATGATTCCAGTAAATGTACTGCAATATATTTTGAAAACTTAATGAAGCCTTATTAAATATAGAGCCTTACAAAAGCCATCAGCTATTAAAATCTTTGCTGAGAAATGAGTGTTAATGAGAATTACTGGTTGGATAATTACTCAAGTGAGACTTAGTAAAAGGTTTGGGTGCAACATTACTTGCACTGAGAATAGCATTAAAACACTTCCTGTTTTGATGAATTACATCTGTATGTATGTCTGTGTGTTCAGAAAATAATCTTCTCAGAACTGGTCTTGTGAAGCATTATTTTTAAAGGGAAGGAAAAAGCCATGGTTGCCGTTAGTTCGTTTACATACTCAGCCGCTAAATGATGTAATTTGGCAATCTTTCAAGCCCTTTGATTCTCCAACAACATATTCCTACTATTTGAATATTTCACTTCAGTGTATCCATTGGTATGTGAGCCAGGAGAGTTTAGAAATGAAATACAACCATCATTCTGTCACCTGAACTTCACCACCACCCTCCAACAATTAAGTATCCTCTTCCAGGAATGCTAATAATAAATTAGATGGATATTGGTTTCATTTAGTTTTCTTTATTCCATCATCCAATAGAATACTATTCAGCCATTTTAAAAGGATGATGTAAATCTATAGTTATTAACATAAAAAGATTGCCCTCAACATTTTGTTGAATGAAAAAAGCGGATTGTGCAACTGCCTTTTAATATGAGCCTGTTTAAGTAAAACTCCTTAAACCTGCTTCTCCTTATGTGGATATAGGCTTGGAGATCTGGGAAGAGGTTTACCAAAAGGTTAGTGATTGTCTCTGGGAAATGATATTTCAGAGGATTTTTGCTTTCTTTTTTATACTTCTCTTTATTATTTGAATTTTCCACGATGAGTATTTATTACCTTGGGAGTGAAGAAAAAAGCTAATGTGACCAAATATTATAATTCCATGTAGTTTTCATTCATGCAGGACTCAGATTGCCTTTACTTATGCCAGTAAATTTGTAGCCAGTCTCTGATCAAATATTAATACTGAATAACAAAATGGCTAGTTGTTTTGGTGAGAGTTCTTCAATGGAGCTTACTGGAAAAATCAATACCCACCCTTACTACTTCAGATTCATCTCTTATTTGAAGAGATCATAGGAAAAGGCTGGTGTGAGGAACAAAAAATTATACTTAACATGAGAGTCTTTGTCTTTCCATCTGTTTTCTACCATAATCGTTATGTACTGTGTAGAATTTCACATAGCCCTGTTCTGAGGCAGGAGGGCTGTTTGACCCTAACAAAGCATTTATCAATCATCTGAAGGATGATTCAACTTGCAAGGAGAACCCAGATATAATAATGGACTTTTTGGGGAAACCTTTCCACCTGTCACATTCCAATAAGATGTTCTCTCCCTGCCCACTTTAGCCTTCAGCCCACTTCTTGTACGTGGCTAAATTTGAAGGAAGGACTTAAAAATAAGGATGTGTCTGAGCCTATCGGATGCCCCTGGCTTTTTGAGCCACCAGCAGAAATCAAGCTTCATACACATTTTCATAGAAAATCCATAAAGAATGAAAAATACTTTGTAGTTATTTATCAACTGAGAAATTAGATTTTTTAAAAGCACAGCGTGCCTGTTGATGCCAGTTCATTTTAACCGGCAATTTTCCGCATCATTTGGAGCTGCTCTGTAAGAGGACTAAACAAGGATGTCTGTTACTCTTGGTACAAGTGAGAACTGGCAAATCAAGCTCGCCATCGTTATTTATATTTAAGCTATTTGGGAACCTCCAGAAAGCAATAAGGCCCTGATTTTTATCTTTTGTGGAGTTTTTGGAAAAAGGAGGGAAGGACGCAAGGAAAGAGGTTCTTAGAGGATGACGGTAAGGTACTGCCTGACTTTACATGTTAATTGCACTTTAACAGAAAGAGTTAATGATAATCGTACATTTGGTTTTAAAATGTGACCTCGTACACTAGTGATTTTTTTTCACCTCTGTGTTGTGTTCGGCACTATTATTAATGCAGGAAAATCAGTAACATTAGTCATCTTAAAAGGGTTATTACTCAAGATGATTTAAATTGTGAAAATGTCAGTGGAGCCTGCACGCGTCCTGCCAGAGATGCCATGATTTACACCCCCTGACACCATCCTGCTTCTGAGAAGGGCCAGGGAAGGAATGGCTTAAATATTTTGCACTGATCCAAATGCAGAGCATGATATCAGCAACAACACACCTTAAATGTCCTAGGACGTGCCAAGGTTTCCTGTGTCAACCGTGTGTACACATTGGAGCGTAATCTGCATGCTTGAAGCAAGTCCCTAGAATCACATACATTCAGGTGGAGGTACTGCTGGAGAGAAGAATTGAACATGAAAATTAGTGCAAAGAAAAATATTATTTCCAAGCCCTCTTTCCTGATGGGCAGTGTGCTTGCCACGTGATTTGCAATAGCACAAAAGGTGACTATTGAAAAAATGTTGAGTAATATTTAGAATCTAAAGGATTCTTCAGACTCAGTCGCTCAGATGACAGTTCACTTAGATAACGGCCATTCAGCATTTAGCACTTCAACATGAATGCATAGTTGTTCATGAGCCATAATTTCCATGTTATTTTCCATTTACATGAACGAATTAAGAGAGCTTAAGACTCAAGTCAAAGCCAGAAAGGCTGCCCAAAAAGCAGAAATCACCAGCTGATTAAAACCTCCTGCCAATAAAGTGTTAAGAGTGTGCTCTGTTTAGCGTGGCCGCAGAGCAGTGGGCCACACATGCAGTGTTGAGAGGCGGCTGATTCTTGCTTTTTCCTTCAAAATAAACTAGCGCTTTCCAGAGTTTGGAGTTTTTAAAAAGCACGTGAGGAGGGAAGGTGTGGTAGGTGGACAGGAGAAGGGGGGTAAGTTTTGAGCTTTGATCTGGTCACCTGTTACTCTGTCTACTGCTTAACTTTGCTTCATTTTCTCAAACTAATTCTAAGTCCCCAGACTTGCCTTTGGGGGCTCGTTCTTCAGGGGTTGCAGTGAGCACCATCACTAAAGGACAGAGAAGTCTGCCATTTGAAATACCCGCTGTTTCCACATATTGTCTGATCGGGCCGTTTTATTAACGTGTGTCGTTTAGCCACCTTCTTAAAGGTGGGTGGGCTTTCCTGCTGTCCAGTTCTACCCACCAGGTAAAATTCCTACAGGTTTACGCATTTGCTGTAACAGCATCAGAACAGTTTCAAATACACTGAAAGGAGCCCTTTAGAGGTTAACAATAGACTCTTAGATGACCGTGAAGCCTCATGATGGAGGAGAAAGTGACCGCAAGGGTGTGTCGCTCGAACCCCTCTCTGTGGCAGGGAAAGGGAAGCGGTTCCTGCAGTGACACGTGTGCTCTCCTGTCCCCGTGTCCCTCCAGATGAACACCTCCCTGTTGGGGAGCATCGGCATGCTGAACTCGGCGCCCCAGCTGCGCTGTATTAAGACCTACCAGGTGCCCCCCGTGCAGCCGGCGTCCCCCGGCTCCCACAATGCCCTCAGGCTGGCCCGGCTCATCTGGACCTCCAACCGCAACGTCATCCTCATGGCCCACGACGGCAAGGAGCACCGCTTCATGGTCTAGGGCTCGTGTCTGCGTCCCCGTTCTCCCAGGTCTCCAAGCCCAGAGTCCCGTCCTTCCTCAGTGCCCACCCCCGCCGGGGTCATGGGGGGCACAGCCGGGTCTGTGTCCCTTCGCATGGTCCCCGGGGGCAGACTCCTGCTCGTGCCACCTATTGACTGAGGCATGCACACATCGCTCCGCAGGAAGTGGCCGTCCGGTCCCCAGGTCGTTTCTCACCGCCGCAGAGGGAGGGGCAGCCAGCAGTCCCGTTGCTCGGTGCACCAGAAGCCCGGAAATCAATAACCACTGTGATTGCACTGCCAGCCCGGATCAGCAGTTTCTTCACGCTAAAGCCCACCTCTGAATACTGTTGGAAGCTGGTTGTTCTGACATTGGGTTTTGAGGTCATGTGGCAGTCCTAATTATTGATACCGTTTTCCTTTGGATTTCCTAAAACGTGCTATTGTTTACCAGAAAGATTCTGTGTTTACGTGGGGTTTTTTCCTCCGGGAGATTGCTAGGCAATTACTCAATCCAATTTCCTAGGGTTTAGCCACTACCTTCTTTATTAACACCTAACCGATTGGAGATTAATGAGAAAATACACACACACACAAATTTTCCTTGTGGAGACTGCAGTTTCCCAGACACCTAGCCTTCTAAAATGCTCATATCCCGCTTAAGTGATACTGTATTTAGTAGCTCAAAATCAAAATGATCACTACTTATGATCTAGTTAATATAATTATCCAGTCACTATAATCTCTTAAATGGACTTTTGTAATAAAGAACCAAATTTGAAAGTATAGCGTATACCTGAAAAGAAGATTCCTTGGCTACAGATCTTTTTAAGAAAGAGCTTACCCCTTCCTTCCAGAAACTTCACAGACCTGCAGTTCCCATAAGTCAGCTATCATGTAATAGTTACAATTCAGCCTTCAAACTACTACTGATCAGTTAAAGGAAAGCTAAGACAGCATTTCTTTGAAACAAGTATCCTAGAAAGTTATTAACTACGGCACAAGCATTCAGGAGCATGCAGTCATCCTCAGTATCCGCGGAGGATTGGTTCCGGGACCCCCGAGGGTACCAAAATTCACATATACTCAAGTCCCTGATATAAAATGTCAGAGTACACGGAGGGCTGACCGTGTGTACAAATGTGGATGCTCTCAGTCTTTCCGAATCTACCCGAACGTTGCAGTAGGGTGTTCATCACACTTCCAAGTAAGCTTTAACTCGGTCATTTTCTTCTCCTTATGTCAGATTATGCTGGTTCTTCCTCACAATAATGGAAAAAAAAATCTGTAAAATAATATTTTGGATGACTCGCTCCTAATAAACCTTGGTCTGTATATAGTTGGGGATTTGGTTGGTTGGTTGGTTGTTGATTGGTCGGTTAATTGGGCAAAATGGTTTATTAAATACAAAAATAGAAAATGATTTATTAAATTCAGAAAAAATACGTGAAGTTTACAAAGCAACCAAAATGATAACGGGAGTGTCTAATTTAAAAAGCATAGATTGTCAGCGTTTATATAATATACAAAAAAAGTAGGATCACAGTCCAGGAACAAATACATCTGTTATTTTATTGAAACAGATTTCTAAAGAACATGTTAGGAAATTAAGACCACTAGAACATCTCTTTCATGTCGACATGAAGTCTGTCATTTCTAGTGATGGCAAACCCATCCTATACCTTGGTTTTAGACTTTAGGTATTCTTAAAGAGTGAATTTATGCCATATGCATGTGCAGCGTATGTATAAAGATTATGTATGTAGCTTCCCAGGAAGAAACTCAGAACTATACAGCGTAGACTTGCTTGTTTGGTGAACATGCTGTTGTGCCCGATATAGATAGAGAAACCTGAGGAGAACGAGGTGCTCTCGGTTTTTCCAGTGGTTCCCCGAGTCTTCAGTGCGAGTACCTGGCACGTGTTCACTTTATGAACTGAAATGGGGATTAATTTATTCTAGACCACAAAGCTGCTTTGGAATGATGAAGTGTAAAAGTATACCTTAGAGATTTTTTTTTTTTAAACAGAATGTTCAGGGCATCCGGAGGAAGGTGTGAGGCTGTGGGCAGGCCACCCCAAAGCATGGATGGCACACCCCATGGAGGGTTAGAACAAAGCTATGAGGGCCCTAGGAGCCAAATACCTGGGCAGTGGGCCTCGGCCAGCTGGCCACACAGCCTGGCTGCACAGACAGCCAAAACTGTTGGCCCCTAGAACATCACAGTTGTAAAACTCCGGGGTGGATGGTATCTGATGGTGAGACAGACACCTCTAACTGCTAAACCAACATCTGCATTCTTGTTCACACCAATCTCTCCTTGGCTGTTTTGTCAACCACAGTTGCAAACTTCATCATAGCTCAGATTTTCTCAGCACTGAGGTAAACTTTACCTTGTCATCCCAGTGTACGCTTTTGGTGTCTTATTGATCTTGTTGGCGCTGTATTTGGACCTGTCCTTGTAAACGTAGAGACGTATGTGGCTTCATTGGTAATTTACAAGTGAAAGATGATGTGATACCTGTATGAAAATGTAATGATTGAACTCGCTGTGTACAGCACGTGACGTAAGATGTCTGCCTCTCGAGGCATTTCTTGATGACTCCACTTAACAGATTCTATATGTGCTGAATGTCCCTGTGTACTTACGTGTGTTAAATAAAACTGAATTGTACTGAAGATTGTTTTTCTCATTAAAAACATTGTTCACTCTTAAACATTCTCAGTTGAGATCCCTATGCTTTCTCCCAATTTTGGTACCAAATTAAGCCTTCTATTTCTGTCTGATTATTCATTTCCCTGGAGAGCTAGCTTCAGGAAAGGCAAACTTGTCCACAAAGGAGAGCAGAGCAGTAAAGGAGTCTCTCTCCCAGCTGTGGAAGTGAGAACCACACTCCTACCAAGACCCAACAGCACCCTCTGTGGTTTGGGCAAGGGAATTGCGTGCCTGTTGCTTTATCTCCACCTTAAATTGCTTCTAAATAGACTGTTAATCGCACCAAATTTTATCTTGTCAGATTTGATGACACGGCTTGACTGCCCTGGGGTGGGGGGCTGGGCTGAGATCATTAAATTAATTTCATTTAATACTCCGTTTGGAGTTGAATTTGAATCCCTGAGGAAAAGGGTATAATTGGTTTTCAGAAAAAGCAAGAGTAACAAAATAGGTCATCATCGCTCACAGAGAGTTAGTCATGTAAGTGGTGAATGTAGTTCTCTTTAATTTTCAGATAAGAATTAAATTGAGTCAATCATCATGTAACAATACAATTTCCTTTAAGAGATAGACAAGCATTAAAGGAGTTGACTACAACATCACTGGCCCTATTCAAAGGCCTCCTGTCCATCCCAGGAAGTGTTTTAACATCTCCTGATATCTTGAATGTATCCTTATAGGGAAAACAGGGGCAGTAACAGTTCTTTATGATTGGTGATCACATAAACTGATCAAATGTGGAAAGGGCATGACATTAATAGGAAGGTAAAGCCAAGCAGTGCTGGGTGAACTTTCACCTTTCACCCCTTCGGCTGACTGACAGAGCTGAGTGTTGAAGAAAATCAATACTCCGGAGCCAGGAGGGAAATATTTCTAACCTCTAACTAGAGAATGCATTTTGACAAGGCCAAGATAATCCAAGCTGCACAGGAGAAAGAGAAAAGAAGATTCATTTTTAAAGCTTGACACTTCAAGGTGTTTTTGTACAATGGTTTAGAGATCGTCAATACATACAAATACCAAAGGTCAAAAAGAAAAGCCAGAAGAATTTCAAAAATTAGATGTTCAGTTCTTTCTGCTGTTTACAAACTAAAAAAGACTACGGAGAGGTTCGTGCTTGGAACCGTTTAAATGAACAGTGCTCACAGTTGTGTGCTATAACGTTACGGTCCTCCTTTAACCAAATCTTAAATTTTATAGAGGCAGCAGTGTGAAATATTGAATGCCTAAAAAGTTGTTAAGATTTCTGGGTTTTGTACATTTTTTCTTGGACGTGGATTGTTGTTGGAGTGGTTACATCGTCTTGTGGTAACATCTCAGAATCTTGCTTTTTTTTTTTTTTTTTTTTGCGGTGCGCGGACCTCACAGGCTCCGGACGTGCAGGCTCAGCGGCCATGGCTCACGGGCCCAGCCGCTCCGCGGCATGTGGGATCTTCCCGGACCGGGACACGACCCCGTGTCCCCTGCATCGGCAGGCGGACTCTCAACCACTGCGCCACCAGGGAAGCCCAGAGTCTTGCTTTTTGATGCCTGTTGCTGCTGCCCTGATGCCACGTAAATCTTAGCTCCTCTGTCACATTCCCTTCAGTCATTAACATAAGAAAAGAGTGCCTTTGGAACTTGAATTGTTTCTATTTCTCCAAATCCCTTTAAGCAAATTATTTATACAAGTATTCTAATTAGTGCTCTTCAAAGTGAGGCTTACGCATCTCTAGGAAGTAGGTAAGCAATTCACTCCACTCTTACCGCAAGATTAGATCCATTTGTTCTGTGGACGGATACCTCCATCAAATGGATATAGATTTGTTTCTTTCCTACAGATAAGAAAAGAAGTCAAATGGTGCCCATACCTTCCAGCCAAACGCAGAAAGACAAAGGAATCCCGGATACTTGAAGTATCTAAGGTAACACTCTGTTTCCTCAAGGACAAGCAACATCATGATTAAAATAACAGTGAAAATATACCCTTAATTTATATACCTTCTTTCTCATTAAAAAAAAAAAAAATCTCTATTCTGCGTAGATCTGGTTGGAGATTTTTTTGTTTTATTTGTTTCAAAAGGAGAGCACAGCCAGCCAAGACTCCTCAATATTCTGAGATTTCCCAGAGAAGACCAGGAATCCAGCTCATGCCTGATTTGTAGTGAGTATCAAATATGTATTGCATCTGTTACATCCATAAGAGTATGCCTGTAAAGTGCTTACAAGAGCGGCACATAGTAAGCCTTAAGAAATGTGAGCTACTATTTTTAGTAGACATTTAGAAGTCCTTACTGAGCATGGATAAATAAGATTGTAAATTACATGTGTTCTTTGGAAAGCACTGTTGGGTTTTGTATTGTATTTTATCTCTAGGTAGACTCCAATAATAGGTCTGAACATCTTACCCAAAGAGGAGTCTCTGTGGTTCCAACTGTATTCACCAGGCTCTTCGTCATGTTGCTGTGTGTTGCCATCTTGCTGCTCACCAAAACTTGTAGACACTGAGGAGATGCCGAAATATATACCAGCGATGGGGCTGGTTGATTACGGCAGTTGAAGTTATGACTGATTCCTGAAAAAGGAAGTAGTTCGCCATCTTAGCATCAGGGATGACTTTGAGTTACTTATATAAGTAGCTTTGAAATATACATCCATCAGAATTGCGCAAGGCTCTGCACCAAGTATTATAGCTTAGGTTTCACAAAATCACTGAAGCAAAGGAAACAACGTGTAAGTTCTGTTGCCAATATCTTCTTGTTTTGACTAGCGTCAAAATGACTTAGCACAGGGCTTCCCTGGTGGCACAGTGGTTGAGAGTCCGCCTGCCGATGCAGGGGACATGGGTTCGTGCCCCGGTCCGGGAAGATCCCACGTGCCGCGGACCGGCTGGGCCCGTGAGCCATGGCCGCTGAGCCTGTGCGTCTGGAGCCTGTGCTCCGCAACGGGAGAGGCCACAACAGTGAGAGGCCCGCGTACTGCAAAAAAAAAAAAAAAAAAAAATGACTTAGCACTTCATTTACCCAAATGTGAAACGTATTATCTAAAACGTGAGCCACACAGTGACACTTTAAGTTTTAGTGAAAATTTATGAATAAAGATACCACATGAAACATTATTCAGTCTACAAGCATTTACTGAATCTTAATATGTGCCAAGCATATGTTCTGTTTTCCTCTCACTGGTAAGCTCACAATCTAGCAAAGGACCATAAACACTATGGGAAAAGTATGAAGAACAGAGATGGGCAAAGAGCTATGAGAACACAGAGCTGACTAATTCTGGTAGGGTGGTGTCAAGTTAGGCTTCTGAGAGAGGAAGCATTCGGGCTGGGCCTTGAAGAATAAATGGAAATTAATTAGGAAGATGGAAGGTATGTTATAAGATAGGAATTTATGGGAGTCCACGTTATTATGTGATTTGAGGGTACATGAACTACTTCACACCTACAACCTGAGGGGCATTGGTGGGCAGTACTGACAATCCAGGTACCTCTCCAGTTGCAGTTAATACAACTACAGAAAACGAGACTGCTGGGCTAGAGAACACCTGACATCTGAAAGTTAAAAACCCTAAAAATAATGATAATAGTTAGAGCAAAACCCTAGTGAAAGATTTCTCTGACTTTTACTAGTTTTCCAGATTTCTTTTTTTAAAAAAAAAAAGCTCTTTTGCTTTTTTTGAAAATTCAGAATATATATATATTTTAAATTTTTATTAGAGTATAGTTGATTTACAATGTTGTGTTAGTTTCTGCTGTACAGCAAAGTTTATCAGTTATACATATACATATATCCACTCTTTTCCCATATAGGTCATTACAGAGTATTGAGAAGAGTTACCTGTGCTATACAGTAGGTCCTTATTAGTTATCTATTTTATATATATAGTAGTGTGTATATGTCAATCCCAATCTCCCAAAGTATCTGCTTCCACCCCCCAGCCCACTTTCCCCCCTGCTAACCATAAGCTTGTTTTCTACACCTGTTACTCTATTTCTGTTTTGTAAATAAGTTCATTTGTACCATTTTTTTAGATTCCACATATAAGCGATATCATATGATGTTTGTTTTTCTCTGTCTGACTTACTTCACTCAGTATGACAGTCTCTAGGTCCATCCATGTTGCTGCAAATGACATGATTTCATTCTTTTTTATGGCTGAGTAATATTCCGTTGTATATATGTACCACCTCTTCTTTATCCATTCCTCTGTCGATGGACATTTAGGTTGCTTCCTTGTCCTGACTATTGTAAATAGTGCTGCAGAGAACATTGGGGTCCATATATCGTTTCAAATTATGCTTTAAAAATAAGTTATGCATTCTCCTCATCCTGTCTTCTAGTACGTAGAAAGCATAGTGCGTTGGGTGCCTGCCATGTACACTGCCTAGATTCCCACCTCCCTCAACAATCACTCCAGGACTGAAGCATTTATTCCCCCAGCTACTGGGAGTGTTGGTGTCCTTAGACACTCAGCTCTCTGCTGAGTCCTTCCCTGGAGATTGCTTCACAGCCAGAGAACTGTCTGACCCGAGATCATGATCCTTCTCCTGGGGACAGCCACATCCAGCGATGGGTCAGGGAGAAGGTATAAAGCCCCAGCCTCTAGCTGTTTCAGAATAACGTTGAACGGCCATCCCAGCTCCAGGACTTCCCTTGGGATTGGCTGAAGCTTTCATTGAACTGCATCATGGTCCAGGCTTCCCTCTGCCTAACCCTGCTTCCTTCACTCCCCTGCAGTGTTGATCTCGAGAACACTGCTCCATAAGCTTCCTGTGTGCAGATCTCTATCTCACAGTCTGCACCCCAGAGAACCCGATTTATGACAGTTGGTACCAGGGGTGGTCCAAGAAAACAGGATCTAAAACATGATTTGGGAGCTGGGTCACTGGCAGTGCAGATCCCATCCCTGGCGGTAGGTGATCATGGGTAGCCTCTGGCATGCTGGGGCCATGCAACTGTGAAAACTTAATCAGGATGGC